ATGGTTAATTCGATATTTACACACAAACAGTATGATGTTTATACAATTTCTCCCGTGGAAAGCAAATAATGCACTCCATGCGATTTCGTTTCCTTTTTGCTCAAGTTGAAATTATTGGTTAAATCATATCGAAATCAGCTAGCTTATGCTACGTATTAATCTGCGAACAGGTGCGGAAACACGCGGAAGGAAATGAGGGTAATTCCCACTCCCTAACATTTTTCAGTAACTATTAATTTTAACATGTCATGAATCTTTCAAGCAGAAATATTTTCACATAATCAATAAAACGAATAAAATCGTATCGGCATGAGCTGAGTGTCGTCTGTGACATTTTACAAAATCTGTAATATGACACATTCGACGAAAACATTTTGAATTTCTCCTCCCGAAATTTGTCTCTGGATCCGCCCCTGTCCGCAAACTACAGTTTTTCTTTCATTGGAATTCTAAATACTGAAGAAGAAAAATATTCTGTTTTAGCTCTCCGATTGCCACAAAATGAACTTGGGAGGGCCGTTTCAATTTGTTCCAACGATGGTTGTATCGGAAACGAATGCACAATCGTCAACAGGTTTTTGTTCATGCAACATGGAACTTATTCTGATTAGCCATTATCGTACCATAGTTTTGAATAAAACCAAATAGTAAGTAGCTACTTCAGATGGATTAATCCAAAATATATTGAGTATTCCACATTGCCAAAATGTTCATCAAGAAGATAAAAGTGCACCAATACAAAACGTTTGAGCCATTATACATACTACTTTGACTGTGTGAAAGTTTTTATAGTATTTACTAAGAGCTAGTTCTAAAGAAAGACATCTGAAATGCAGACCCAAAATGAAAGTCAACATGAACCAGTACTAAAAGGAAGGGAAAAGGAAATTCCCAGAAAGAGACAACGCATTTCGCAATGCCAACTGAACGAGCTTCTGTAAAGTAATGATTCTGAACTTCCGCCTAGTAACCTGTCCGTAGACGTTAAAATCATAGTTCTGTAGTCGAATTTTACTTTTAAAACTTAAAGTATGGAATTACTTTCCCGGTATTTGTCCGGAGAACTCTATTTTAAAAGGAAAGGAAAATGTTTGAAAAATCAACTAACAAAATTCAGAATAACTCTGAAGTTTGTAAAATGGTTCCATTAAATAGTGAATTCTTTAACATGCTCTACGAAAAAGTGAGAAAAATAATTGTTTTTTACCCTGCATACCATTTGGGGTCTCCGAATACGAAGTATTCTGAAATCATTTACTTCAATCTTCCCCCCAAAAATTGAGTCTTAAACTGATGACTGATACACTGTCGCGTATTCTACTTCTTTTGTAAGTAGTTTCCATACTTTCAATGCTTTTTCCTATCGTTCTTCCCAATGTCTTTTTAATTGAACAGGAAAACCATTCTGTGTCGAGTGTACTCCTGTATAACTATTTTCGCATACGCATACTATGAAGTATTTTCTTTGACGTTTTCTTCTAAAATACTAGGGGTATGCTGAGAAAACTTTTATCTTTTCAATGGAAATGAAACTACAGATTACTAAAGGCATATGAATATAAAGCAACATTCTCTTTTGAAAAGATTACTGTTAACACTACTTAAAAATATCCACTCTTGTTTTAATACAGAAACCTGAAGTCATTCTTTTTTATCTGGAAGATTTTCTGTAAAACTATGTAATTAATCTTTGGAATAACCATAACAATTTAAACTATCAATCCTTTGCAATATGATTAAACATACTGAAAATTAAATAATGGTTTCTGGGCTTTATTGTCATTTCATTCGTTTATTGTCAAAGATAGTAAAACATGTACCTGAATTATGTGATGTTTGAGAAGAAAAGCTATGTTTAGTGTTTGCTTTTGTGACGATACGTTTTTGGTCGTTGGATCCCAAGAAATTGGAGAAAAAAAAGATAAAAATTGGTTATGCAAACAATACTCGTAAAATGATAAAAGTACTTAACTGCACGTTAAATGCCTACCCAATTACGATAACACTTCTAAAAGAAATTTCACAGGACATCAACGTGCTGTCTGTAGTTTTTCGAATCCATGAAAATATAACACTGAGCTATTAACTTTGGAAACATGCAAAGAAATAGGGACATGCTAACTAATGACTTATTCTTATAGTTCTCATTACTTCGAAAGATGTGTGCTGTTGGTTTGAACAAAATTGCACTATGATCTTACAGAAAAATCATGGAAATATTCAATTTTTCTACATTACACGGAACCGGAAAAACACTTTGTACAATTCGCACTAGTCCATTATTAGAATGAGGTCTGGTTTAGAAATTAACTGACTAAAATATAATCAGAAATGAAGAATCAGTATTGTGCATGAATTTGACTGAAACTGCGTACATTCATCCAAAATTTCAAAAATCTAGTGCCTAACATTTGCTTTTATGTGCGGAAAGTTAATAAAATATATTTTTAATATCGTTTTCTATGACGGTGAAATAATTTGTAAAATAATCCTTGGTAAAATGAATTACCTAAAACCTTATTGACATATAACGAACAGTGCTAGTATGAAAACTTAATATCAAACAATATGTATAGTTCACTTATAGTACTTCTTCCATATGATGATATATTGTCGAATGGTAACCTGATTATACGGAAATGCCAGTCTGTACTGGCTGAGCGGTATATAATTTTACGACTGAGGTAAAGATGTATCGCTTGTCACAGAGCGCCACAATCGTGACACGATAAAACCTGAACACATTTATTCGCTAGGCAGAACTTGACTTAATAGAAATTACTGACGAAAACACCACTTAAGATACAAGTCATCGAAGAAAAGTGGCTGAGAAAAACATATTTCTAATATTTCACTTCATTCTAGAGGTATTCGTACTTGTAAATTTGTTCTTGTCAAGTGAACAACGTAATGTTTTGCGACAAACGGAAGAATAACGCAAGAAAAAAAAATATAAGAAAAGCCGACACTACCTTTTGCCTTTTTTAAAACTATTTCTTGGAAACTTTATGCGTAAGAAGTCGTGACTTACAAAAACTATATGATAAGACCTAATATACTCTGAAAATTTCCACGAACTCCTTACCATCTCTTAAAAAAATCTGTAATTTGTCAGGAAACGAAATTTAAGATTTCGCTCTTTCAATAAATAATCGCACAGATATTGCTTCTATGAACATCGAACTGTTCCGCCAGAAAAAGAAAATACAGGGCAATTTTTTCGAGTATCTGTAGACTCAAAATGAAAGTCTGAGGTTTCATTGGAAAAACCAACAGCATATAATTTTCTGCGTAATATTTAATAGCAATTCCGCCTTACCAGTCCAGATGATAAAGGGATCACAGATAAGGGAAGTTCTTTGGAATGTAGAAGAGAACGTTGATAAGTCTTTTACTCTCATGTATCACACATGTACTGTGGAGACACATTGAAGTTTTGTGCGACTTTTGTTCGATGTTAGTATTTACTTTTCATAAACACTGTTCTTCATTTTTCCTGGAGACAACACTTTCATTGATTAGAAAGAATCGCAGTGAGTCACATCGAAGTCCTGAGACCGCAATTCTGTTGGAAACAATTGGTCTCACATTGTATTACGAGTATTACGAGTATATTTCTAATGAATTATTCATCATGTAAAACACGCATGCTAATGATAACGATCCGAACAGTCGTCTACCGACAGCTTCGCCCCAATGCCCAGGCAGCGGCGCGCTAGAGCAGAAGCGTATCTAGGTATTCAGGCGACCAATAGAATTTGCGCCTCCGTCAGGATACTTCCCTGCGTCAAGATCCTCAGAGCGTAACGCGCTGACTTCGCAATCAGGAGGCCCGGGTTCAATCACAGGGCCGGCCATTCTCAGCGGGGTTTTCATGGCTTCCGTCGGTCATCCAGGCGAATGCTGGGATGGTTCTAGTGAAAGGCCACGGCAGCAAAACCACCGTCGCTAGGTCAATTCATTAACTTTGTGAAGTCGTGAGGGTTAAGCAAATTCGAGACGTCGCGGGTTCCTGGTTGGGTGACCGATGAGGAATCCCGGGATTTAACGGCGCCGAGGCCAGTACGAGACATATAAACGGCTAAATACAAACACAGTGTGCTTCAATTTGTTTTCAGTGAGTATACTGTAAATAGCGTCCGCGGCCGGCGCCGTGTCCGCCGTCCGCACTGGGCACTCACCCGGTCATACTGGTGGGAGAAGGGCGCGAAGGGCGCGGCGCGGGCGACCCCGGCGGCGGCGGCGGCCGCGCTGGAGCCGGGCCGCTGGTACAGGTACGGGTAGTACGCCTGGTACACCACCTCCGGGCAGCCTCATGGTCATGGGAAGGACGACAGCGCGCCCTTGCGAGCCCGCCGGCGGCTGCTGCGCCGGGGCTGCGCGGGCAGCGAGGAGGGCGACGCGGAGAGGTGCCTCGCTGGGCGAACGGGGCGGGCCTGGCGGCTGCGGCTGGGGCTGGTGGGGGGGCGGGATGCGCCGCGTGTCGCTCGTGGCCGCCGGCGGCGCGCCTTCACGGCAATCGCCGGCGCGCCACAACGGCCCAGGCGCTCGCGCTCCGCGCTAACGCCCCGGCACGCCGCAGCGTCAGGGGGCGGCCGCGCTCAGCCGACACGCACAGCTCTCTTCAGGCACCGGCTGGCTCTGGCCCGAACAACCGCACAACAAGACAAGATACGAAACAATCCGCTCCGCTGTAGTCGGGTCCTCTCTGATGCCACCGTCTACTGGAACTTCGGAACTGGCAGCGGTCCGCACTGAAATGTCTTTGAAAACTACTAGCAATCCGCTTGACGTCCACGCGCTGTAGGTTTTCTTTTTTTTCACGCTCGGAAGAATCGCTTTCGTGTCGACTTCACCATTGAAACTACAACCACTCGCTCGTCAACTTCGGCAAAACGATCACTTGTTTCGGATGTGAGTTGAGTTCTTTCAACGCGTTTCACCGGCCGCTTCTTCGGGGAGCGCAAACACTTCCGCGCCACTCGAGGGCGATCAGTCAGTCACTGCGACCAACACGCAAGGCTGCGACTTCCGAAGTATCTCCCCGAGCACGGAGTGTCGTCCTTGAGGACTGGAGGCTTTTGGCAACACGTGAGACTGGCGAACCTCCGAAGGGCCGCCCGGAGACAGACACAACTCGTCGAGGAAAGGCTGCTCCTGCGCCGTTGACCTCCTGGGTGCTGCTCACGCACTGTCTCGCACACGCACGGCGACGCGCTGCGGCGGGTGGCCGGTCGGACGGGCGTCCTGCGGGGCGACTGGCCCCCGGGGCCCACGCGCCGCTTCCGCCCGCGCCGCCGCGCGCACGCCGCGCGCCCGCCCCGCGCGCCAACCGCCGCCGCGACGGCCTCGTGGCCCGGGGCCAATGCTGCGCGGCGGCGCGGCGCGGGGCCCGCCTCGGCCCCCACCGGCTGCGCGGCCAGCCCACTTTGTTTTGCGACGCCGCCCCCCACCGGACGCCCCGTGCAAGGGCCCCCGTTCGGAAGTTGTTGCCGCCGCCGCCGCCAGCCCAGCGAACCGCCGCGGCGCCATTGCTGGCGGCCCGCGTCCTCCGCTGCCTCCGCCCCGTCGCGTCGCTGCTGACGCCCTGAGGACGGCCTCGCGGCCGGCGGCTCTTTGCACGGGAATTGCCCTGCGCTGGCCTCAACTGCGCACACCGCCCGAGACACTCAGTGGACCATCCAACCAGGGATCAGACTTTTTGCAACTGGATCGGAAGATGCTCACCAAAATCTATAAACACTCTGTTGGCCCTTTTTCCTCTTTGCCTTCCAATATTATGCATTGGAATATTCCAATATAATATATTTCTGATTTCTTTCTTCTCCTTTCTTCTTTTTTCTTCTCCTTTCCTCTCCTTTCTTCTCTTTCTTCTTCTTCTTCTTCTTCTTCTTCTTCTTTTTCTTCTTCTTGTTCCATTTTCTCCTTTTCCCTCTTCTTCTTCCTCCATTTTTTCCTTCTTCCATCTTCTTTGATCTTTTCTCTTCTTCTTCTTTGCTCTACATAATTATGTTATGTTTCGATGTTTTGTTCATTTTTGCCTTCGTTAATATTTTTTCTTACATTAACCTTTCTTCAAATGTCCATCTCATTCCCATTTTCTTTCTTCTTTGCCAACATTTGTTTCTACTTTTCATTCCATTTGCAATTTCGTTTTTTTTTTAGTCTCTGGTTGGTCATTTTGTACTCAAGTCATCACTGAACGTTATTCTGCTTCACTTGTTTGCATATACAAGTATTTAACTCCTTAATGTTGATGTATCTAATACCCATTTTCTTAAAACTTTTTGTGAACATAATCTTTACAATTATCCAAAGAATATTGGTGAATATAATAAGAAAATAGTCTATAGTTATACTTTTGGGAAATTACTTCGAAAATCATTGTTAGTAGCCAAAGTTGTCAAAAATATTGACGTAAAATATAAATATTATGGTCTATTCAATGTCCTTAGGGAAGTTTCTTTTTCTTTATAGGGTACACTGCCACTTCATATTTTTATACCTTTTGGAAACTGTGGGAAGCTTCATCGGCCGTTTGTAGATTTTCTTGTTTTTGAAATGCATCCGAATCATTGACCTTTCTAACGTATTTTCCTGAAAAAGAAAAATACAATAAATACGATAAATGGTAAAGATTTATGTTATAAATAATGCAAATTACCATTCTTTTATTTTTTTTTTACACGCTCAGAATTTTAGAAGCTATTAATACTGGATGGAAATGTTCATACTTTCAATTTTATTATTACTATCACATCATTCTATATTTTAATCCAATTAACCAATTTTATTAATTTTAAAACGGAAGTCATCTTCTAAGGATCATTTTTGGAACTACTAAGAAATACCAGTTTATTTCTCTTATATAAACTTTAGAAAGATGTTGGCCTATTGAAGGCATTTCAAAGGAGAATATTTGAAGGATCATAAGGTAGGTAGATCAGTATAATATTTCGAATTTTAGTAACATTGCAAATTTTTACAATACATATATTTATATATAAAAAATTAACATTACAAAAGTGTTTGTTACAGGCATCTCAATAAGGCCTAGTTGTAAGACGTTTCTAGAATCATCTACACAATGTTTATCATTTTTTTAGAGAGGAGATTAATTGTTTAAATACAATTTCACTGACTAAGTCAAACCAAAACCAAAATTTTATAGATAAGTTTACTTGTTATACAAACGTAAACACACTAAGTATTGATCTTAAATATAAAATTCGTGTATTCCTGATTTTGGGAACGAACACGAAAACATTTTGGGAAAATTGACAAATTCTATCAAAACAGTTTCCGTTCTACCAAAGTCTTCGATAAATTATACACATGTCATTGTCATTCTATTGTAGCTACGTGATGTTTTACAGAGCTCAGTATTGTAGCACGAGTCCGAAGAACGAGATAAGAACATCGAAGCACAAGTTCAAAGCAATACTTGTTTTACAAAAATCATAAAAGTCAGCTGAGGTTTCTAAGGCAGAAGACAGTAGTTGCCTCGGCTCGAAGGATTGCGGGTTCGAATCCAGCCTCGGCCACAGACGGTTATGTGTGGTTATGTTGTCCTTGCTTGTCGTGTTCCCCCTAGTTACCCAATGTAAAACAATCAAAGTGGTCTCTACGTAGCCTTGTAGTTAAAAAGCGACCTTAAAAAATTCGAAGGACTTGTATTGATTTTTATATTTATGAGCAATGACGGCATAAATACAGCCAATAGTTGAATTGAGATTCAGTCATTGATAAGCCAACTGACTGGAACGGAAAGTTTCGTAAAATCATTACAAAAAATTATATAGTAATTCTATTTGTTATACTCTAAGGCCCTGCATTCAGTAGTCTACTCTTCGCAAGTCTTTGATTTGATCTGTGGTGCTATAAAATTCACGAGGTGTTAAATTCATTACGGTGCTATTACAGTATTTGCGATGAAGCACTACATGAAAACGTTCATTAAAATTAATATTATGTATACAAGTAATAGTTGCAGTACGCGGAAAAGTTACGAGAAAATTACGGATGTTCACAAAGTTCTACGGGTGTTTAATGATACTTGAAAATATCATGAAAATATTTCTTCATTTTAACCTAGTGGCGTAACCAGAATTTTCCCCGAAGCTGAATTCCAACAGAGTTGTTACTTTCATACATTATTTTCATTTTTTAAATTCGAAAGTAATTTTTATTTCCTATTTTTTGATGTAGATTTGTTTGTAATTTGTAACATATGCAAAGAAAATATTTAATTATTTTCTTCATTATTCAAAATATGTTGTTCCTTTTGTTCTTGTTGACCGCATCAAGAAGATGAAAAAGAATTCAAGATAAATAGAAAAAATGTATGACTATGATTTGTTTGTTGAACAAATAGAATAGCGGGAAAACATTTTAATTTACTCTCGGCTGTATTTGTAAAATTGATAAATCCAGTAAGACTGAAAATATTCTTATAATAGCCATCGTTTTACATCCATTCACACGTACAGACATTATGTGAAAACAATATGTTTCGTTTCCGGAAACCTCAACAAGAATTTTACCACCAAACTCTCGACTACAAATTTTTGAAACGAACACTTTTCTTCTACAATAATCAAAATCAAGTAAAAATAAAAAATAGTCACTCCCCGCCATAATATTTTTAATACATGTAAACTGATTAAAAGAGGTTAACTGGTAACTCGTTAAAATAAAAAAGTACATACCATGCATTTAGGATTACAAAATAGCACATCACATCATAAGTCAGGAAGAACAACCGATGATTTTAAATTTTATGGTTTTTAAGAATTTTCAATAATTTTTTACTCTTTGTTTACTGCGTTATAAAGTCGACTTCCAAACAGTATTAGCACTTTTTAAAATCTCTCAGATATTGCTAAACTTTTTGAACATTTTTGAACAAAAATGAAGTAAGTTTTCATTTTTAAAACCTTTTCAAAAGACGTTTTATTCTTTTTATTTCATAGATATGAATCGTGGTTAAGAAATGTTCATTAAATTTATATACAGTGTGAAGCAGAATAAACCTGTTGAAAAATGAATATTTATTTTAAAATTAATGTAATAATTTTTATAAAGTTAAAATGCTTTAAAGAAATTATGAAAAAATAGTACACCCTTGAAACAAGAAAGAACTTTGAGGATTCCATCTAAAAGAGTACTAAGAAATATCTTTCATTATTGTTATCCAAGCTAGAGATTTTTCATTGCGAAATATATTCTTAATAATAAAATAAACAAATATAATAAATAATAAAATTAGATTTTTATGTTATACATACATCTTTCAAAGTATGACCTGTTTTCGCGTAATGTGTTGATTTTGATCCGTTATTAACAGGTTTCGTTGTTAATTAAAATTGTTATTTGTTAAAAAAATGTTGTTTCCTTATTCTTAAATTCTTGCATTTTAACGACTTCTTTACTTTATATCATTTATGTACTACATTATTTTGTATGTTGTATTTACTATGTCACGTATTGTAATGTAATAATGTTATGCCATTACTATGAATTTTCATGTTTTATTGAATTTATTGGAAGTTATTTATTATTGAAATTAGTAGAATGAATGAAGAAAATGTTATTTAAAATAAATCTATTTTTAAGTGTGTTTAAATTCTCGAAATTGAATGAATTGTCCATGAAATAAATCTGCCGTCAGAATTATGGCTCGCGAGTGTTCGAGTGTTAAAATAGGATTTTGTACTGATACTGTAAATATAGAAGAAAGACACACTAAATAAATACTTCTTAGTCAATTTTATTGCATAATATTTTTGTTTTAATTTAAGACAAAGTAGGAAAGAGGATATTACAATTTACGCTTTTAGGTGTTTTTTATAAGTATAGAAAGCAAATAAAATGTTGTAGCTTCTGCTAATAAAGCATTCGATTTCCCGAAAGAAAATGAAAGTAAACTCGACATGGGTGATTTAGGGAATGCTAAACCGGTATTGAAGCTCACAAAGGTATATATAGGCAGCAGATATTTCTACAGTGAAGTACTCTATCACTTTCTAAGTGGACAGAGAAGCCAGATTATTTTCTGAGGAGAATGTGCCTTGTATGAATGAATATACCACCAATTGTGCCGCTGTTTTCGAAAATGTCCTACAAAGTTATACGGTCAGATATTTTTGAATAGACAATAAACATGTCAACAATGTATAAAGAAAAATATAAATACATAATGATTAAAATGTAGAACTTGATAACGAATTTTAGGTCAGAAGAAGACTAATGTGATGTTTTTTTATATCGTATTACATTAGTTCTATTGGAGATATCCCTGTTCCAGGCGATGTATTGAACAGTTTAAGAAACGTAAGATATCTTTTGAAAAATGTTTTTTAGGGACTGCGGTCGACGATGGGTGTTGCAGGTCACTCATATTTAGTAATTAATTCGTAAAATATTCTGTGCACATGAATCTCGTAACACACATTAAACTGGAATACATTTTACCAGCGAGCGTAACTCGGAAAGGATGTTACGTTAAAATTAGCTTCCCCGTGGCACAGGAAGCGAGCTATGTTTTTATGTCATAACCTTCAATATGAGATCTCTTCCGATGTTTTATTACTTATTTGGACAGTTCCTTCATCCTACAGCACGGGTTACCAGAAACGTTTGAAGTTCGGTTCCAGCATTATTTTCACTTTGAAACAATGATTTAAAAAGTACAACTTCTTGAAGATTACACAGCATGCGTGACTGGTCAGAAATGAGCAGACATTCGAAATCTATGACTAGCTGCGTTTAGCAAAGAGCACTGCCTCTGCCACTGCCACCGTCTCTGCAGCGACTCTGACCGGTATGACATAGGGTTCGAGTTCCGAAAGTGGCGAGATTTTCGACACTAATAATATAGCTAGGTCGAATACTGTCACTAGATGGGGAGAATTCCAAGCAGTCGGTTTACTTTTCGTTAAAATGGTTTCCAATAGATTTCCACGTCTTTTTGCGATCAATATCAGGTGAATGCGGGAATAGTACCCTAACAAACTGTTTCCGGGCGGCGTGCGATCTTTCCTTCCTATTCCTTGTCCTTACTCACCCAAAATTACATTTACATGCACTACTTTATCATACATATCGGGACATCGGTCGGAGCTTAGAGCTTGAGGAGGTGATTGGGGAGGTGCCCCTTTGGAGGTTATATGGAGGAGGAAATCCTCCGCAAGTCGGAGTCGGATCTCTCGATCTAGCGAAAGAGAACACCACCACCTTTCGGGATAAAGATATTCCTTACACCAAGGGGATTATTAATCCCATACGTTGACATGCAGAGAAACAGCCGGGCTTAACATTTCTTTAAAGATCAGGGGATATCAGTTTGAAGTTGGGATCCAGAATGAAACTACTTTCCAAAAATTATTTACAAAAAGTGCGGGATTTTTGCACAGATCTAGCTAGTTGTTATAAATGAAATACTGTTTGGATACGTAAGCATATGTACACTTTGTAAATCGTTGTTTTAAAAGTTAAAATACATGCATTTTCGAATTCAACGTCGGACGGACCCAGCCCCTGAATTGTGCATTACAAGAAAGAAATTAAGTCTACTTCTCTACGTGGGAAAATTTTAAAACATGGAAATACTGCACAAAATTGATTTTAGAAATATTTTATTTTATTTTATTTTTTATAATATTTTAATTAATCAAATTTAATTTTACATCAAGTTTTTGTTTTGATATTTTCTGACCCTAACCCCTTCCCCTGCCTCAGAAGGGTGATTCTCAGAAAGACTGCACATTAAAAAATGCAGGTTCAAAGAGTCAAAGTTTGCTGAGTACGTTTTAAGAAACATAACTCGGAGGCCGCCTGTCACTACGTTTCAGTACGTTATCTCTTTTCCTCCAACATTACGAATGTTTTACTCTCAATAAACTGCTAGATAGAACGTGTAAAACAGTAGACATTTGTTGTTTTCTCTAGGTACCCTTCCTTTGTTGCATCATCCCGTCTCTGTGGCCCTTGCCGTAAACGATTCAATGAAATGAGTCGCCAACCCCGCAAGCACTACAATTAATTCTACCCCTCAATTTCGTCCTTCCATCCCTCCCTCGACGTTCCTCCAACTCCAAGTTCATCTCCACCCCATCCCCCCTCTGCACATCCATCTCTCCACGTACAAACGTTACCTTCATTAACACAACCTTCACATTTTCATTATCTTTATCGTTTTTTACGTTTTATATACTGATATTTACAATCTGTTTTTTATTATTTTAAACATTCCATAAATTTGTTCTTGATGATGAGCAAAGAACAACATTGTTAAACATTGTCAACATGAGCAAAGGACAACATGATTAAACATTGTCCAGGGTATCTTTCTCATCTGTCATTATCACTGCCACCACAATCCTGACCACTGTAAGCAGAACTTCCGGCGCAACCGACTCTCCCCTTCCGCCGCATCCGCCGCTCTCGCACCCTTCCCAGCGCCTCCTCTGCCTTCGTCGCCCCGCGCCTTGCCTGCCCTGCGGAGCTCCACTAATCGCCGCAATAGAGAGGCATTCCAGCGCGCAGCCCGCAGCGCCGCGCGCGCCGGGGCGCGGAGTTAATCTGCCGACAATTGACGGTCGACCCCGCCCCGCAAACTCCGCGTCGCCCTCTCGGGGAAGGACGAGGGAAACGGGGAGGGCGGGAGAGAGGGAAATGAATACGAGCCGTCTTCGGCGACGGAGGTTGGGAGAGGCAGCGAGTGCGTGGGAGCGAAAGGAAAATGAGATGATCGTCAGGAAATGTGATGGACGATTGAGCTTGAAGAGTGATAAGGAAGGAAGGAGCAATAAATAATTTTTGCTCAAAAATATAAGTGAGTATTAAAAGTAGTATTAAAGGATATGAAACAAAAACAATGATGGCAAGAAACATAATATGATCAAAAAACTTACTAATACAGTTCGCTAATCCGAACCTCGCAAATCCGAAATTTCGGATAATGCAAAAAAAATTCGGGATAGAGGAAAAATAAATAAAATGCTTATCTGTAGTGAAAAGAAAATATTTTATAATTACTTTAGAAATGAACAACTAATTATTGAAACACAAGTTGCAGAAATTCAAAGTTTATGTTTGAAGTATCATTGCGCTGTTTCTGTTTCCGTCTTCAAGCAAGTGGTCGCTAATACTTTGTCCATTGGTATGAAGTGATCGCGGAAACGAGAGTGTCTTCCGAGTCAGCTGCTTTTTCGAAATATTTAGTTGTAATTTTATTAATGTAATCAATGCGCAGTGGTATTGATAAACCACTATGCAATTCCGCTGTATACATGTACGTAGAGGTGCAGAGGGCGGCGGCCCTGATGTATTCATTTTGAACTACTTGCAGTTTTTCAAATGAGCGTTTGCTGCAATTTCCCAACTGTAGCATGCGTAGTCCATCTGCGAACTAATAATTGGTTTATAAAGCTTGAGGCAGTTTGCCGTTGATAGTTTGCTCCGCTTATGAAACAAGCTTCGCGATCTGCTTTTGGAAGAGAACGAGAACCGCGTCGGCGGTGAACCCTGTTCACGTGGCTTTTGTCGGGGTGTCAAGGGTGGGGACGGTGGTTTTAGAAGCAGCAAATAGGTGAAGCGGTGGGCGCCTTTGGGCAACGGAAACATCAGAACAACTGATGCGGCCGCAGTCCCATCTTAAAAACGACTGCCTCACATGGCACTTCGTGTAAGCAGGCGCGTATCTAAGAGGGGGGGATAAGGAAAATCCCCCCCTTTAAAATTTTTCAGTAACTATTAATTTTAACATGTGATGAAACTTTCAAGCAAAAATATTTTCGAATTACCACTAAAACGAATAAAATCGTATCGCAGTATGAGCTGAGGGTAGCCTGCGACGTTTTACAAAATCTGTAATATGACGTTCGACGAAAACATTTTGAATTTCCCCTCCCAAAATTCGTCTCAGGATCCACCCCCGGTGTAAGATAATGGGCGTGTATGAGAAAGGATGCCCTTGAAAGGGCGATGACGTAACTTCGGCTTATTAATTAGCATATAGGCAATGAGAACACGACACGATGCGAGGAAGGTTTTTTTTATCAGATACCAGATTCGTTTTTTTTAGTTTCTGACAGTAATTGAATGACAGCAGGAGTGGCTTACTGAAGTTTAGTTATTCAATTCGCTAACGCTAAGAAAAGAATCGTCACACTTCTAAGAGATGGCGATGAGCTCTATTAAAGGAATTAATTTTTACTAATATTTATTGCATTACTTTCAAAAGTATATTAATAATTTTGATCATAGTTTAAAATACATTAAATACGTTACTCTGATTATCCTAAGCCACGTGTAAGAGAGAAGGCATTTCTGAGTAGATATGATTTTTTTGCCTCGTACATCTCCACATTAACTTTTCAATCAGTTTTTATTAATCTTCAATTTGCATTTGGAAATGACCCGAAATAAATGTGGACTTACAATTCGGAAAAAAAGACGTTTAAAACGTGTACGTGCACGTATACTGGCAAGTGTATACAGTTCAAATATTTTCCCCAAAGTCAATATACAACTATAAAAAACTCAAATAGTCATTATTTTTTTCTATCGATGTTTATATTCAATTAATGGTGTATTTTTTGTTTACCGTGTGCGTTTTTTTATAAATCATAATTTGTGCGAAGGATATATCATATGAATGATTTTTGTTGAAAATTCACTAATTTTGTACGTTAAATTTCTGATACATTTTTATTTATTTATTTATTTTTCATTGCTTCCAAGTGATCCCAAATAGTTTCATCTGAGAACATTAGATGTGTGAATCCTAACGAGGCCTGTCATTCACCTTCCTTTTGTGTAAATTAAAGTCACAACCCAAGGAACTGCGATCCTCTCTTTTAGTAACCAATTCAAAGCTTATGTAAATTGCAGGTACATCAGACGCTGATCTCTCTACAAAACCTGGGAGAAAATAATGTTTTGCACTTAATATCTGAGAAACGTGTATAAAAAAAGTAACTTCACGATTTAGGCGTGCTTTTAGATGCCTTCAAAGTATTGATGTTATTGGCCGGTCGGGGAATGACCATTACGAATTCTCTCGGCCCTTGAACATGGGAAGAACGCTTCACGGAGGAAACTGTAGCACAAGAACTCGCGGATTCTCAGCCGACTGAATTCTCGACCCACGAATTCTTCGGTGTCGTTCTATTTGTTGGTATGTCATTTTGATGAAGCAGCAATTTCACCTACAATCTGTTTCGATACTGTTTTTTAATTGATTTTAGAAATACAGGTCATTTTCAGTTTTCATAATTTAACGATATACACACAAATAAAAGAGAAGTTCACAAACATTTCCATTAAAATAAATGTAATATAGTCCCAATAAGGTTAATTGGACCCAAATTATTTGCTTCTAGATCACTCGTGAGTTCCGCTCATCACACAGTATTCTAAAGATAATTTAATTTGATATTAATTGATTGAATTGACAACTGAAAATAAAATTACGAACAAAAAGAATTCTTTCCGAAACGCAAATCTGAAAATAAAATATTTGGGATGCAGACTCTTCAGTGCAATAACAATTCTTTTGGAAGGATCTTGAATCATCCATTCGTCGGCGTAGCAGATCGAGCAGCGCCCTCTGACGAAATGAATAAAATCTGCGAAATCGCGTATTTGCGGTCAGAGAAGAGAGGTGGTGGCTGCGTTGGCTAGCCGGACACGGGGCAGCTAATGGCCAATTCCATGGAACTAGTTAATTCTTCGACCAGTGATTCTAGGGAATCAAAACGATTCCAATCAATCAGTCTTGAAATTACCTTTTATGGAAAAACAGTGTTGAAGTAAATTTGCAACATCTAGTACATACTGCTACTCCCAAAATTTGTGCAATTTTTCCATTTGCTCAACAGTCATCAATGCAACAAGAACCGGCCAGCATTCTTTTAAGTGTCCTTTGTTCTACCTGTAGAAAAATTGAGTGTTTTTTAGGAACGTTTTTTTTCATAAATTGCGTAAATTTCATGCACAAATTTCGCAAGAAATACTCTTTTTTTAAAGAAATGGTACCATTTCGAAAACTTGTATACGACCTTATTTTTAAGGCTGCTTTTGAAGAACAAGTTTTATTAAGGGGAAAATCTATATTTCAATATTGTAGTTGCAGGAAGACGCCGAAAAAATGAACTTTCATAATTTTCGAAAAATTTGGGAATTCAACGAAAATGAGACCTGCGCTATTCTTTAAATATATTTTTATAATTGGAAAGTAACAATTTGGGCGCAAATCAGCTGAACGATTTAGACGCTAGCGTTGACCGTAGGCGGATGGATAGAAATACTATATGCGTAATAATAAGAAGAATCCATTTTTTTTGTAGTTTTCGTGGATTTTTATTAATAAGTTATTTTTCACACTTTTCCGTTATTTTTAAACACATTTTTTGCTAAATTCATCAATTTTAATATCGTTATAATGACATTTGTTTCAAATAGTATTTATGTGATGCTACAATTGTTCTCTACAGAATTTCTGAGTAACCAATTCGATTGCTTCCCTCAAAAATTGTAATGTCAGCCAATATGAGTATGAAATCTATGGTTCCTGTGACGCCTATCAGCATCATTGTCAGTTTGCCCGATTTCAGGATAACTGAAGACAGATATCGTGGTAAAGAACAGTCCAAATCAAACGTTTGCAAACTAAGTTTACTTGAACGAAAGGAAGAAGCCTCAAATATGTGTATATCAGTAACATTTAACAGTTTGAGTTGTTCATTGAAAGTTGTTTTGATCAATTTTTACGTCATTTTTCTTTGCTTTTAAGGCATTTTAAAAATATTTTAAGAACATTTTATTGATTATTTTGGCCATGTTTTAGCTCATCAAAATCAACCCTAGAGTACCGGCAACGCATAAGACACTGACAAGTTTAAAGAACTGATTTTGTGAAGAAAAATCATCTCTTTAATCAATATTGTAATGATTTGCAATGATAATTTGTAATTTTCAATACAGAGAACATACCAAAAATTAGGCCTGCGCTATTTTTATAAGCAAATTTTAATCTATCCGAGAAAAAAATAACTAATTTGCATTGATTTTTGAGAAAAAAAATTTAATTGCCTATTTTCATGCAAAACCATGCTGTAGCTACTCATAC